ACCTTTCTTGGTTCCACTTGAAGAAGAGCCATCAAGGGTCCGAGCCTTGGTACCCTTTGAAGATCTCTTTCTCTTCCTCCCTCGACTCTGCCCGATTGCCAAGACCGGAGTTGTTTCTGGAGTAGGAGTGATAGCAACCGACTTCCCCTTAAGACCTGTTTCTGCGGTCTTGAGAAGTCCCTGAAGTTTGCTGAGGGTGACCTCTTCCTTGTTCATGTGATATGTCATGCGGAATTGATCATAGCACGATGGTAAGGAGTGCAAAATGATATCTATTGCAAGCTCCTCAGGGAAGTTCACATTGAGCTTCAGCAACCGATCCACATACCTTTGCATTTTCTGCATGTGGCTCGTGACGGACTCTCCGTCCTTCATCATGGTTGTTATCATGGAGCAGATGACTTCGTACCTCTCTTGTCGTGCACTTTGATGGTATCTTTCCATCAAATCTTGGTGCATTTCATAAGGGTAGAAGTCTTCATAAGACTTTTGGAGTTCAGCTGTCATGGTGGCTAACATGATGCAAGCCACCTTGGTTGCATCTCTTTCATGAGTATGAAAGTCAGCGATCTCCTGGGGAGTTGCAGTGGACTCGTCAATTTCCTTAAGCTCCTTGTCAAGGACATATTCTTTGTCCTCGTAGCGGGTAATCATCCTGATGTTTCTGATCCACTTATTGAAGTTGGATCCATCAAAGGTGACTTTCCCACATAGACTCATAAGAGTAAAGGGAGCCATTAGATTCGAGCCAGAAGCATTGTTGAAAGACATCTGAAAGAAGAACAAGTTTAGTTTAGATTTAAGAGAGTCCTTAATAAAACACCCAAATGTAATATTAAGGCTAGGATCCAATCACAATATAATATAACTTAGAAGAGGTATGCCGTAATCTAAGCTATACCATATTTGAAAGGTAGGTGAATGACGATTCACCAATTTCCACCACGAAAACCGAAATATTAAATATTTAGTTTTTATTGGTTTTAGAAATTCCTAGATTCTTTGAGATCCAATGAACTTTTCAAAGGCATGTTTCATCTCGGGAGTGCCCTCCAGGTTTTGTGACTGGGATGCCGAGGATCACAAAACGAGGTGTGAAGTAACCATGCAAATCACTTGGTACCTTAAAGTTTATCACTCAATCGATGTGCCGGTAAACCACACACGCTCCACCGATACTATAATAAACCTTAAGTCACCCTTTACCTACCTTGTTAAGTCCAAGTTAGTGTGCCGGTTAACCACACACGCTCCACCAACGACTTGACAAAGTGTAAAGTGTAATTTCATGGATTAGCACCTTATTCACATTTTTCCTAAAGTAACTAAGATTGGGAATTTAATAAACATTTAGTTACTTTATTATATTCATCATACTTTGAATGAGAATTTATAAGTCCTTGTCTTACCCGTTCGGCTAACGACCCTCCACCAGTCAAGCAAGCGGTGGGTGAGAATATACACCCATTAAGTCACCATTTTATAGGCAACAACCTTATACCCACCTTATAGACCGGCTTCGTGAATGAGGCGTACTAGCGGTAAGACGACTTGTTCTTATACATATATATATAATTATTAAATTATCATAATATAAGTATAAGGGTTGAATTTTAACTTTTAAAATTCTAGGGGTTGGAACTAAAGTTTTAACTTAACTTTACTTGTTCCAAAACTTGAGGGCAAGTTTTGTAACTTTCAAAACTTTTCATTTCTTGTAACTTATGAGTTTAATAGAGTCGTAAAATGAAGACTCTTTATTTTTATAACTCTTGTGTTTTCTTAATGGTTTTTAACTCAAGTGACTCTTGGTTTTCCATAACTTAAGGATAAGTTATGGACTCCATTAAAACACATTATGATCAAGAATTAAACTACCAAATAGGTTACAAATAATTCCTATGATCATCTAAAACATCATAAGAACAAGAACATGAATATGAACATAATCAAAAATTACATAAAACTTTGTAATTTTGATAACTAGTTGTTGTAAATGAATTAGCAAAACATTACACCACCAAAAACAAGTTTATATTAACTAAAACAGTTTAGGGTAATGTTTCTAATTCATTTTCCAGCAACTGAATCGAAATTCTGCACTCATTCGACCCTACTCGCCGAGTGCATGAACATGACTCGCCGAGTTGGTTGAAGATACACATGGACTCGACGAGTCCCCCTATAGACTCGACGAGTCCGATCGCAGACAGCAAATTTCCGATTCTGTTTTCAACTTTTAAGCACAAATAAGAACAAACAAGCCTAGGCTCTGATAC